CACCTCCCTCCCCCCGGGTACTCCCCCTTCCCCCCCCTCCATGAGAAAAGCATCTTGGTCCTCCCCTGATCACCCCACCCCCACCCGCGCACCGCTGGCCACGGCCGCCTTGATGTGATCATACATGCCGAGCGCGGTGCGGGAGTGGAAGTCGCCCCCCGCCTCGAAGGCCTCGATCATGGACCGGCAGTTGGCCATGTGGGCCAGGATGCGCAGCTCCAGCTGCCCGTAGTCGGCCACCACCAGCGTGTGCCCCGCAGCGAGGTCTGCGGTGAAGGCGCGGCGCACGCCGTACCGATCCTTTTCCAAGGCCGGCTGGTTCTGGAGGTTGGGCCGCCGCGCCGACAGCCGCCCCGTCTCCGTGTTTATGTTCAGCGAGCAGTGCACGCGGTACGCGGCGGCAGGGGCTGGTGGGGGGCCGTCGACTGTCGAGTCATGCAGCGCTGCTGGAGCCTGGAGACCACCCCCCGAGCCCTGCCCCATGGTCGGTCCTTCCCGACCCGCCAGCGACAGGTTCCGCGCGCCCAGCACCCCCGCCTCGCCCCGGCGCCGCGCGGCCCAGTCCACGGCCGCGGGCTTGGCGATGGCGTCCTGCTGAAGCGGCACGATGAAGTTGCTGAGCAGCGTGTCGATGGCGCCCACGTCCACCAGCGCGTCCACCGCCGCGCAGGCGCGCAGGCCCTCCAACTCCGAGCCAAACAGGGGGAAAAGCGCGCCGTGGCCGCCGGCGGCGCGCTTTGCCTCCAGATCCGCCGCGTCCAGGGGCTCTGCTGCGACGGCGCCGGCAGGGTTGGCGCTGGCGTCAGCGGCCGCACCAGCACCCCCGTCAGCGTCGAGGTCTGCTGTGGACTCACTGTCTCCCATCGCCCCAGCCTCCACACCACTCGCGTCGTCCCAGGCGCCCACCGGGTCCAGGGAATCCCCCAGGCCCAGACCCGCACCGGGGCGGTGTTCCAGCGCAGCCAGGGCCTTGGCGGCGCGGCCGGGCGGCCCTGCTAGGGCCTTCAGCACGGCGGTGTTGCAGGCGGGCGCTCCCGAGGGCGTGTGCACGGTGGGGACCAGGGGTGAGGCCACGCCCTCGCCCCACAGCCCGTGCAGGGTGACGGCGATGTTTTTCTTCGCCTTCTTCCCCCCCTCGGCCACGCCCAGCGTGTTGGGCACCTTGAATTCGCGGGACAGAGGCACCCCCGCCTTGGCCGGGTCGCGGCCGTTGGGCACGCCGGCGAAGAGGAGCTGGGCGACCTGCGCCCCGGACCCGACGTTCATGTGTGCGGCGCCGGGCACGCGCGCGACCGCCCAGTCGCGGAAGGCGGCGCGCGCGCGCTCCTGGTCGGCCACTGCCCGGCGCTCGGCGGCGGCCAGGTGCGCACGGTCCACACCCACACCCAGCGCCTCCATCTCCGTCAGCAGCTCGCCGAAGGGGCGCCAGAAGCGGAGGTACACGTCCCACATGGAGGCGATGGGGCGCCCCGCCGCCGCGTACTCGGCCGCCACGCCGGGGTCCAATGCCACGTCGGTCATGGCCTCCAGCCGCTCGCGCAGCGCGGCGTAGAGGTCCCAGGTCGCGCGCGCGTCGGTGGCCGAGTAGGCCACCCAGCGCCAGCGCGTGTCCTCGCCCCGCTGCAGCTCCTCCACCACGTCCATCACCAGCAGCTGCGCGGGTGGCAGGGGTGGTTTTGATGGGAGACCATGTGGTTGAACAGGTTTTGGTGAGGGGGAGGGGTCCTTGGAGAGAGCGTGCCTTGAGATGGTTTGTTGGCCATTTGCTGACAGGCCAACCGCATTGCAGCATCGGGATCTCATGGCATGGCATGGCAAGGCGCCCACGCCCCACCCACCACACGTCTGTGCCCATATGTACTGCCCCTTTCTCTCCCATGACACAAGCTCTCACCCGTCTGCCCGCCAAAACCCCTGACAACACAAGAACACCCCACCCAATCTCCCACCCACCCACCTTGCCGTTAGTGCCGTCGGCCCTCTTGTTCGGCCGCGCAAACAGGTCCTTCATCCCGATCTTGGGCACGGCACTGGAGCCCATCAGCGCGACGTCAGAGGACAGCGACTCCAGGGAGTATGTCAGCTTGCCGGAGCGCGAGGAGTCCCACAGCCGTGCCATGTGCATGGTGTCCGCCTCAAAGCCAGCGTGTTTAACCCCGGCGCGCTCCACGATGTGCCGGTCAAATGAGAAGTTGTGCCAGACCTTGGGGTGGTCCGGGGACGAGAAGAAGGGGGCGAAGAGGGAGAGGATCTCCGCCGCCTCCTCCTGTGACGTGTGTGGGGAGAGGGGTTGAGAGGTTGCAGCATGCTTAGTCAGCCTGGGAGAGGTGAGAAAAGGGTGAAAGGGGATCTGTGTTGAGGGCTACATGCGGTGGAAAGGAGTGGCAGGCATGCGCTATAGTGACCACCTCAGCGGCAGACTCCAGCTCTGGAGCAACGCAGCGCGTCTGGCAGCGCCCAGGACAAAGAAGGTGCGGTAGACACAGCTAGGCACCCAATGTATTCACCAGCACCCCCACCTGGCATCAGTCAACCCACCTTCCTGGAGGCGTCGCCGTCGAGGTAGGTGTCGACCCACAGCGTGCTCTGCACGCTGGGCGACGCCCCGCCCCCAAAGTCGACGTCGGGCCCGCAGTGGATGGAGAAACAGATGAGGTCGCCGTGGCAGCATGGGGACTGGGAGGTGACGTCGATGGCGGAGACCTCGGTATCGCAGGCAAACACCCGGCCCCTGAGCTCGGGGGACAGGAGCCGCGCGGCCGCCGCCTGCGCCCCCGCCAGCGTGTTCACCACCAGGACGTGGGGGGGCGGGGTGTTGGGGCAGCGCTCGTGGAATTCACGCTGGGCGGCCAGGAAACCCGCGCCGGCAACCTCGGACATGCCCAGTACCTTTGGCCCGGCGGCCTCGGGCTCAGCGGGGGGGGTGGCCAGCTCCGCTGTGGTCCCCACGGGGGTCGTCATGGCATGAGCGCGCGCGGCTGAGTCCCTAGTGACGGCTGCATGGCCGCCATTGTCCCTGCCCGGGCCCGACGGGATGACCGCGGCTGGGGCGAGGGGCGTCGGGATGAAGGCGGGGGCGGGCAGGCCGCGCGGCGGGTACCGTGAGGGGCCCGCCGCCCGCCCGTGGGACAGGATGGTGAGTGGCTGGTAGGCCGCCTGCGCAAGCCGCGCCCGCGCCGCCTTCTCCTCCATGCGCTCGCTGGAGCCGGGCGCCCCCGCCCGGGTGCGCTCCTGCTCCTCGCGCCTGGCATTCACCCACGCCGCGTCGTACAAGTGGTGCCCAGGGAGGGGCGGGCCGTCGGTCGCGTGCCTGGTCCTGGCAGGCGCCGGGGAGGAAAGGCTGCTGGCGGTGCGCGGGGGGTCCTGGCCACCATATGAAGCGGCGGGGCGAGCGGGAGCGCTGCGGACAGGATTGTTTGGCACGTGTGAGGGAGGGAGCGTGAGCTGGTTGGCTCGAGTGGGGAGCCTCTTGGAGGGGCTCGCACTGCCAGAGGACCAAGCAGCAGGCCCCAGCATCGCAAGGCTCCCTGGCACACCGTATCGTACCGCTCATGATAGGCTCGTCGGAATTCTGGCAGGAGAGTGCGGAACCAGCGGGCTCTGGGGGCCATGGCCAGGGGCGAGGGTAGGGAGACCCCGCCAGCAAGTGGCGTGGCAGACTGCAAGCTCAGCCCGGGCGGGGATGTGCCACCGCGCCTAGCTGCTTGCATGACTGAAGGCTAGGGCTCATGTCTTCATGGCTGAAGGTGAGGTTTGACGAGTGGGTCGCGCTTCACGGGACTCCGACACGAGTTGGGTACTGAAGGGTCGCAAAAGCGCTCGGCGGGAGGGTCGAGAGCAGCCAGATGCTCCTTGCGCCACCCGTTCTGTGATGGAGTACCCACTTTAAGGGGCTGAAAAGGCCATTTTTCGGCAGCCGTGCGGTGCACAGGCCCGGACATCCTGACACCCGCCGAGATTTGAGCTTGCGTGCGGCGAGTTTCCGCGCGCGGAGTGAGATCGGGAGTCCGCTTGAGAGCATGCAGCTCCGACACTCCACGTTCTCCCACATTCCAAGGCGATCTGCAAGTGTACTGCGATTCTGCAAACTGAGGGCTCGAAGACTCGCCTGCACGAGCAGCGGGTATGGGGCTCGCGCTGGCCTGGGCGTGCCTCGGACTCGTGCTGTGCTCTGGGCAGCTCCTCCCAGCCCAGGCAGCCGAAGCGTTCCCCGGACTGGAGGAATGGAATAACAAAACAATACTGCCCAGTCTAAGGGCGCTCAAAGACGACCAGTGGGTGCTCCTGGAGCTGTATGCTCACTGGTGAGGCGAGGCGCTGGCTGTAGTTCCCCCAATCCATTCTCCACCATGTTCTCATCCATTGGCGCTTACATGTACAAATTGGCCCTGCAATGACGGCTGCATGCCTTGGCCCCAGCCCTGCCTGTCATGATCTTGTTCTCCCTGCTGCCTTCCCAGGTGTCCTGCCTGCCAAAAATTCCAGCCAATCTACCAGGATCTGGCCGCGCACTTCCAAAAAGATCCAGGACTCGTCGTGGCCCGCGTGGACTGCGCAGAGTATGTGAGTGTGGCATGCATGCCTGCCGCACCTGCCTGAGAACTGACCTGAGTGGGGCCAGCCTCAACGACGTTGCTGGCTGGGAGGGGTGCCCACGGGATTGCCACTCAGCGCCACACCCCTGCCCCTCTCACGGCAGAAGGATGTGTGCGCAAAGTACGAAGTGAGGGGCTACCCGACACTCCTGCTGGGTCGGGCCGGTAAGGTGGCGGCACATGACGCGGCAGCGCTGACCAAGATCGCGGCCGTAAGAATCCTGGACAACATTGTCAAGGAGCTGAAAGGGTGAGAGTTAACGTGCATGGATTCAACAGTGGGTGGAGAGGGGCTGGCTGGCTGGCTGCCGGCCGTGGGGAGTGCTGGTACGGCCCTTGAATCTGCAGTTTCAACCACCCCCCTGCAACTCCTGGGCAATGCAACACCTCGCATGACTGCGGCCAGGCCTCATCCCAAGCTCTCGCACTCCAAACACAGTGTCATGGACGCCTCCAAGGAGGCTTCGGCGCTGGGACGCAAGGCCGGCGGGGAGGGCGCAGGCCAGGGGTCCGAGGCCCTGCGCATCCTGCCGGCTCCCGCGACCGCCAGCCTGAACGATGTCGAGGGCGCCACGATGGAGTCCTGGCGCGTGGTCACGGACGCGCCCGCCGTCCTGACGGGGGCTGACGCACGCCAGGCGCTGGCGGACTGGCTCGCGCTGCTGGCACGCACGCACCCCAGCCTCCTGTGAGTTGCACTTGGGGAGGGGCCTGAGGGGGAAGGCGACCGCACTAGGGGCAAGGCCAGCCGTGCTCGCCATCCCTTGCCAACCTGTAGGGGACCGAGTGCCTGCATCTACTTGGTTCAGCAGGCGGAGTCCAGGCTGTGACCCCTCCCTCCCTCGCACGCGCACACTGAACCGTCTGTGCAGGTGCCAGGCGGGCGCAGCGGCCATTTCCACCCAGCTGGATACCCTCTGGCCGGGGGACCAGGAGGAGCCCCTGCCTGGCCTGCTGCAGCTGGACATGTGTCCTGGATCTGAGTTCAAGGTGTGTGTGAAGAGAGGAGAGCGGGTCCAAGAGGGCCTTGGCGTGCAGGAAGGGATCGACACCTGGGTCACGGGGAAGGGCACAGCACCCGCGGTGCAGGTTCCTCCAGCACTGGGGTATCGAGGTCACGCCCCCCCCTGGAGCCCCTCCCAACCCACGACACACGCCACAAGCACAGGCGTACCGGACCTGTGGATCGGCTGCGGGGGCCAAGGGCGATGGCTTCACATGCGGCCTGTGGCAGCTGCTCCACACCACCTCCGTCCGCATCGCCGACGCCCCGCGCGCCGGCGCCAACTGGCTGGTGGCCGTGCGCGGCTTCGTGCGCCACTTCTTCCTCTGCAGCGAGTGCAGCGACCACTTCGTCAAGATGACCACCGACGCAGCGGCGGCGCGTGTGGCCAGCCGGCGGGATGCCGTGCTGTGGCTGTGGCGGGCACACAACCGGGCCAGCCTGCGCCTGGCGGTGGAGGAGGACGGCGGCGGGGGGCGGCGCCACGAGCAGTGGCCCACCAGTCTGCTCTGCACGCGCTGCAAGGTGGAGGACAGCGACCCCACGGAGGGCTGGGTGGAGGAGGAGGTGTTCGCCTTCCTCATGACCTACTTTGGTGCACAGGGCGCGGCGCAGACCCCGCAGACCAGCTCCCGGTCGGCGCAACTGGGGAAGGCGGGAGCGGGAAATGGATGGGGCGCCGCTGCCCTCATCTTCCTCGCGGTGGCTGTGGCGCTGGCTGCGGTGACAAAGGGGGTGGCGCAGTACTCGCCCGTGAAGGTCAGAGCCTTCTGAGCACTGGGCCTGGGTGTGCTGGACCTGGTCCACGGGGCAAGGCTGAGTCGGCTGCTCCGGAGAGCCTCATGCCTCCAGATTCATATCTCTGTCGGCTCTTCATTGCTGTTTTCCCTCATCCCATATGTATTGAAAGCTAGGTGAAGTCATCAGGTGATGGACTCTGTGGTATACGTCGGATTGTTGTGGAAAGAGGAAAGAGCGACAGGAATCCTCCATGAAGTCGTTGTTGACAGACATCATTCCTCGATCGCAAGACATGGATCAATGCCATTGACACGCTTTCGAATTATAGAATTTGCAACATGACCACACATCCGGGAATGTGCGACGAGGAGGCTCTTTCGGGGACGCGTGTGCACCTGCGCATTCGGCCCCCTCTGGAGGCGCATGGCTGTTTGTCCATTACAGGCCCAGACACGGTCGGCATTTCAGCCCAAGGCTATTCCAAACCTCCGTGCAATGTCACCCACTACTCATTCGATGGGGTGCATGGCCCGGAATCCAGCCAGGAAGCTCTTTTCAGATCGGTGGCCCAGGCAGTGGATGCAGCCTCGAATGGGTACAAGACAGGCTTACTGGCCTACGGCCAGACTGGGAGCGGGAAGACGCACACCCTCTTGGGCTCGCTCACGACCGATGCGAAAGCTGGGATCCTCCCTCGAGCTGTGCATCGCCTCTTCCAATCCTCACAGCCTGGAAGCACAAAGGTGGGTGCATTGGGTGGACCTACATGCAGATGGTATGGGGGCCACGGTGAGCACAGGAGATGATACTTGCTCTTCTGCTGCAGGTGGTCCTGTCCGTCGTAGAGGTCTATTGCGAGAGGGTTCGAGATCTGCTGGCCCCAGACAAAGATAATCTTCAGGTGCTGGTCAGGCGTTACTCTCGTGCATGCTCGAATGTCTTGCCATTAGGTGTCCTGCCATTAGGTGTCCTGCCATTAGGTGCATTCAGCCAAGTCCAATCATGATGTTTACCACTGTCTGACCGTGGATCTCCTTGGAGCTCAGATATCTCAACGTCACGTTCTTCAGACCCTGCAACACACCCTGCAATCAGGTCCAAGAGCGCAACGGATCTGTCACAGTCGTGGATGTCACGTGCTGCACCCTGTCCAGCGCCAGGGAGTGCATGGACGTCCTGGCGCCAGCCCTGGCCCGCCGTGCCACATCTGCCACCGCCATGAATGCCAGCAGCAGTCGCTCACACTGCGTGGTCACTCTGCAGATCGCTCGAAAGGGTGGCAATGGGGAGACCACCATGGGTAAACTCTGCCTTGTGGTGAGCAATGGTACCGAAGCCAGTGAGTCATGGGACTTGTAGATCTTCCTGCAAAATCCTTGTGTGCCATCTCCTGGGAGCAGACCCCAAGCTCACCCCGCTCGATCCTTGGCCAAGTAACATCAGCAGCAAACCTCCTGTCGTGTGCAGGATCTGGCAGGGTCTGAGAGGGCTGGACGGACTAAGACGGAGGGACACAGCTTGGCCGAGGGCAGCCTAATCAACCTGTCCCTGTCCTCCCTAACTCGCGTCGTGAGTGGACTGACGGACGAGGCCCACCCCAAGACCCACATACCCTACAGGCAAGACCTTGATTCGGGAGCCTGGCATTGTTCCAGATCGAATGTGATGGGGTTGCAGTCAGCTGTCGAACAGGAGGGGGTCTTTCTGAGCAGTCGTGCAGCAGCGCTATCACACTTTCAAACCAAGCACGCCGCGCTGAGGGCAGGACCCCACACCGACTCGTGCGCCCCTGGCTCGCGCAACGAACAGGTCCAGCAAGCTGACCCGGCTGCTGCAGGACGTGCTGGGCCCCGGGAGCCACACGGTGCTCATCCTGTGCGTGTCCAGCGCTGCGGTGGACGCCCAGGAGACGCTGAGCACGCTGCGCTTCGGGGCACGCGCCAAGCACATCCCCGCCCAGCCCGCGCGACGGATCGCCGTGGAGAGCGCGGCCGCCGCCGGCGCTGCGCCGGCAGACGCCACGCCCAGCGAGCATCCGGTGACTGGGCGGGGGAACAAGGGGACGTGTCCTTGAGGGATTCTCGGGGACCCGGCCACGCTTCCTGACAGCACGGACCCGCACAACAGCATCCATCGCTTCCGGCACAGGGACGGGGACAGAGCGCGCCAAGCACGAAAACAGTCCCCAGGCCGTCCCACCGGACAAAGGCGCTCAAGACGGTACCTCTGCGGCGGGTGAGACTGGCCATGGCGTGCCTCGCCGCCGTCCAGGCATGCGCAGTGTGCTGGATCAGCCACCACTACTGGCAGACGAGCCACCTCTGCATGCTCCGCGTTTCCTGACGGCGCCGACTGTCAGTCCTTGCTCCGGAAATCCGCTGGCACGCGATTGAAGGACATTGTCCTCGCCGTGTGGCATGCTGCTGCATTACACTGCCCACACGCCCTTCGCCTGTGAACCGACCGGGGCGCGGCATGGGTGGCCGGCCCAGGCCCTGGCCGGCCTCACTGCTTGGGAGGAGCGTCGGTGCTCTGGGCAGTCAGCTGATGGATGAAATCAGTGCTGTCATACTCCTCCTCCACGCTTGATCGTGCCTGCATTGGGGGGAAGGCGCCAGGTGCTAGCAGGCGGCTCAGAGCTGCTCCTCGTCTTGGGTAAAAAGGCAGGGCACAGATCGCAGATATCGAGTGTACGACCCGTCTTCGCCCCATCAGAACACAAACTTACCCGGGCTGCGCGCCGCATGTCCTCTGCAGCATGGAACGCTGCCCTGCTCTGCACCTGTTGCCTGAATGCCTTGCCCCTGCAGTGTGCAGGGGATGCAATGAGAAAGACCTCAGCAAGGCGGCCAGGGAAGGGCTGACCCTTCTCAGGGACATGACCTGCAAGCACAGCCACATGAGTGGCACCGTCCTCGAAATCCCAGTTCCCCAAAGACAACGCACTTTGCGATGTCCTCTTCAGATGGCGGTTCTACTCGCGTCCTGCGCAGCCACTGGTTCCACTCTGGTGGAATGAGGTCAGGCTCAAACTCCTTGCCGCCCAAGTCCACCTCACGCCGCTCACGATCACTGCCGTCTGTCTGACGTTCAAACCACCTGGATGCAGCCATGTGGGTTTCAGGGTGACCATCCACCGGGTGTCAGTCACAGGCACGTAACCCATCGCGCAGCATCGGTTCCCTTGCCCACAGCCCACTCACCTGTAGTACGTGTTGCCCACCTCGTCCCTGCCACTGACTTCCCTCCTCCGGAACACAGCAGGCAGGCGGGCGCGGAGGCCATTGTAGAGTGTGCGGAGTGCTGACATTGAGATGCAGGGGAAAACGACTCGATGATGATGACCTGGTCACAGAGGGTTCTCCTTGTTTTAGGGAAGAGGGCTCGTGCACCAAGTGAAAGGTCCCAGAGGAATATGCAAGATAACAACGCCAAGAATCTTGAAATTTCAAGCCTGGGTCTGAAGGTCTGCGAATATTATTCGTCGCTGTATAACACTCGAGCTTGCATGCCCAACACTGAGGTGAACCTGGTACCGGCACAGTACCACAGAAGACCCCAATACAAAGCGCTCCTGATCACATGGACATTGTTGCGACAAAGCCAAATCTTCGTCGCTCTTCTCAATAGGCCAAGACACGGAAATCTAGCTTGCATGGAGTGGTGAGCGCGCTCGGCGCCTGCACAAGCGAGCCCGTCCCAGGATGGTGGCAACCACGGAGGTGAATGGGACGGCAGGGGCCATCATCCCCGTGGGGTCCGCCCAGTCCTCCCTCCCTGCCCCTGACCTGGCCGGACTGGATACCCAGACCCGGAAAATCGGGCTCATCTACCCCCCTCCCGACATTCGGGCGATTGCGGACAAGACCGCCCTTTACGTCTTCAAGAACGGTGGGGGATTTGGATTGTGCTCTTTGTAAGATGCTGTGATTTGGGATCTTACGGCATCGGGCAGCATGTTCCAGCCCCTCTTACACCCCCCCCTCGACCCTGCAGGCCCCGACTTCGAGCGCCGGGTGCGCGCCAACGAGGCTGAGAACACCAAGTTCAGCTTCCTGAAGCCCGGGGACCCCTACCATGCCTACTACCAGCACAAGCTGGCGGAGCATGCCGCCCCCGCGGCAGAGGAAGAGGCCCCTGCTGCGGCCGGCGCAGCCACTGCCACCCCGGCCGCGGCGCCGGCCGCCGCGCCGGCGCCCACCCCCGCCGCGCCCTCCGTGCTGGCCCCCACCCAGCCCCTGGCCGCCCCCGCGGAGGAGGTGTACACGGTGCATGTGCCCGAGGGCCTACCCCCCTGGACCTGGACGTGATCAAGCTGACAGCGGCAGCGGTGGCGCGCAACGGCAAGAAGTTCCTCACCGAGCTTGCCTCGCGTGAGCACGCCTCGCCCCAGTTCAACTTCCTCAAGCCCACGCACTCGCTCTTCGCCTTCTTCACCGCCCTCTGCGACGCCTACTCCGCGGTGCTGATGCCGCCCAAGGGCCTGGCCGCCGAACTGGCGGCCGACGCCGGCTCGCGGGCGCGCGTGCTCGAGCGCGCGCTGCGCCGGCTGGAGTGGGAGCGCGCGCGCGACTCGGCGGCGCGCGCCGCGGGCGACGCGGAGGAGGCGGACCGCGCGGCCATGCAGTCCATCGACTGGCACGACTTTGTGGTGGTGGAGACCATCGACTTCTTCGAGGACGAGACGGGGGCGCTGCCGCCGCCCATGCTGCTGCGTGACGTGGTCCGCCTAACGCGGGCGGGGCAGCTGGCCGAGGCCGAGGCCGCGCAGGCGGAGGCCGCGGCGGCAGGGGGCGCGGCGGCCGTGGACGAGCAGGCGCTGCCCATGGACGCGGAGGAGCGGGCGCTGGTGGCGCAGGCCGCGGGCGCGGCGGCGGGCGGCGGTGAGGCGGGCGCGGCAGCGACCCCCGGCGGCGACGACGGCGCGGCCTCCGACGTGGACATGGAGGAGTCGGAGGAAGAGGCAGAGGTGCGCATCGTGCGCGACTATGTTCGCGTGGACCCGCGCGCGGGCCGCGCCGACCCCACCGGCTACGTCACCTCGCCGCTGACGGGGGAGCTGGTGGCGGTGGGCGACATGGCGGAGCACATGCGCGTCAGCCTGATCGACCCGCGCTGGCGTGAGCAGCGCAACGTCATGCTGTCGCGCATCAAGGAGACGACGCGCGCCAGCGACGACGAGATCAGCCGCAACCTGGCCTCGCTGGCCGCCACGCTGCCGGACGTCTTCGGCAGCAGCCAGGAGGAGGTCAGCGCCGCCGTGGGGCGCGCCGTGGAGGCCGACCGCGCGGCGGCGGCCGCGGCGGCCGCCGGCGCCGCCGGCGCTGGCGCCGCCCCGCCGTCCCTGCAGCCGCCGGCGCCTGGGGTAGCCGCGCACGCGTACGACCCGCAGGGTGCACACCTGGGCCTCGAGGCCGGCTCCAGCGGCGACGCGGCGCTGCCGCCGCCGCCCAGGGGCATGTCGGCCTGGCCGCCGGGCTTCCCCCGGCCCCCGCCCGTCCCGCAAGCGTTGCCCGTGCCCGTGGCTGCTGTGCCCGCTCCCTCGGCGCTCCCGCCGCAAGAAGCGGTGCTAGAGACTGTGGACGTCGCCGCGCCTTTGCCTGCGGGCGCCGCCGACGCTGCCGCACCTGTGCCTGCTGACCCCAGCGGTGGCCCCACGCCATCGGCCGCAGACGGGGCTGCCGAGCCGGCGCCGGGCCCTGCCTCGATGACAGGGCCGGGCGAGGGGGAGGAGGGCCCCGCCCCCGGCTCCCCGCCAGCACCCAAAGTGTACCCAAAGGGCATGGCCCCGCCCGCCGCCCCGGGCACGGCGGCCGCCGCCATCTTCGCGGTGCCGCCACGAGCCAGCGTGGCGCGGCCGTCGCCCGCGCCATTGCCGCCGCCCGGCGCCGGCATTGCCCCGACGCCCGCGCCGGGCATGGTACTCCCGGGTTCCTCCTTCCCCGCGCCCCTCCCCGTCACGCTGGCGCCCCCCCTGCCGGGGTCGACGTCGGACGGCGTGGCAGAGGGGGGCCACCCGCCCCCGCTGCCAGAGGGGGAGCCGCCGGCCAAGCGTGCCAAGATCGACATGCTGGAGCCTGAGGAGGAGTGGCTGGAGACCCACCCAGGACAGTGCGAGGTGAGGGGGGGCGGAGAACCTTGGGAGAGGAGTTGTTACTCGAGGGAAGATATCATGGTGGGAGGATGGGGATGTGATACGAGCAGAGACATGACGCACGAGGCCCCAGCCAAGGATTTCGCGGGGATGAGGTTCCTGGAAGGTCGCCTGGGCCTATCAAGGACCCACGCCCGAGATCCACGTCTTGTGGAACCCAGGCTGTTCGTTCCCTCCCCCTTTCGGCTCCTGCCTCACCCCCTCTCAACCCCCTGTGCTCCAGATCCTGGTGGCGTGCGCGGCGGTGGAGGGCCACGAGACGCTGACGGGGCAGACGGTGCCGGTGCATGCCCCGAGCCTGGGCCTGACGGTGCTGGCTTTCAAGGACCTGCTGGTGCCCGCCCTGGCCATCCCGGCCAACAAGCAACGCCTGAGCGCGGAGGGGCTGGGCTTCCTGCGCGATGAGCTGTCGCTGGCGCACTACAACGTCGCGCCGGGGGACACGCTGCAGCTGAGCATCAAGGAGCGCGGGCGGCGGCGGAAGTGATGGGTGCTGTCCTTGGGGTCTGGCTGGACTGGCTGGCCGTCCTCGAGAGGGCCAGAAGCTGGTATTCACCTTGATACAAGGCATCAGAAGTCATGACCATGCTGCCGTTTGCTGTACACGTATCGCTGTCAGCTGTGCACAGAGCGCCATTATTCGTGGGGTTCACCAAAGCGCTGGGAGTCACGCGATCACGTGCTCCAAATCCGAATCACCCTCGCGCCCAGAAACTGGGAGCGTTCGCACGTATTGGAATCATGTGGGAGCATCCCTCCACGAAAAGGAACGACATCTTCCGTTCCGCGGACCCACCAGCTCGTATTGAGTCGAGTCTGATAATGGATGCCGATGACTATGTCATGGTGGGGCAGGACGGCGAGTTGGAGGAGAGGCCAGCCCTCCTCAAGAACGAGGGTGCCGAGACCCCGACATGCCAAACTCCACCCCCCTCCTCCCCACTTCCCGACGTCAGTAGAATCATGTGGGAATTGTGTGAATTTCAAAGCTGTAATCCCAAGCCATGCCTCGCCACTCGCACATTTCCGTCACCCACGTACGCAGGAGGGTTCTTTCGACACCAATGACAACACAGTACGGGACCCCCTCATCTTCGCCGTCTTGACTTTGGAGCTCATCATCAGCTGCATCTCATGCATTTTCCAGGTACACAGGTGTTTGAGGTCGTCCCGCGGTGTCGGGCAGGGACGGAGGAGGATTGTCAGTCCCCGATGCCCTCCTGGTTCTGCAGATGATGGTGGACTTTGTGGACTATGCCCGGCCACAAGCCCTTGGCGCCGTCCAGAAGCTGATCAACAAGCTTGACATCATGCGCCAGGTCGGTATGGACGAGTTTAGCTCAGTAAAAAGGGGTGGCCAAGAATGGTGCTGGCCGGAGATCCCTACAAGACTGTCAGTAAAAGGCACAAGTACATGAATGAAGATCGATATGGGGGCCAATCACCTCACTCCAAGACCAGCATTTTGGCTTAGAGTGTCCAGTGCTGTGCATACTATGAAGCTCCAGGGAGTCATGCCAGCCTCCTTCCTATTCCACACATGCAGGAGACCGTCTCAGCAACTGGCCGACCACACCCGCACCAGGCCTGGCAACCCTCGCTGAGAGACAAGGGCATGGCAGGGAGGCTGGAGGCTCTGCTCGCCGCTGGGTACAAAGTGCTGTGCAAGCGCAGCGGGCATGTCGTGTCCGTGGCCCTCGACCGGCCCCAGCGTGTGGCCTGGGCATCGGCTGCGCTGCTGGGACTGACCACCCTGGCCTGGGTCATATGTTGACGCGCCACTGCTCGACAGCACAGGCCCCTGCCCTGCCACTCCCAACCCCCTCCTGTACCATAGTGCATGTTGCATTGTGTATTCCCAGGCACGCACAATGTGTCCCCTCGTTGCCGGCTGGCCAGGAGCGGGCCTGTCTGCCACTTGTACACTGTGAGCTGAAGAGGGCAGGGGTGAGCATGGTTTGGGCAAGGGGCAAGGCATGCAATGATCGCAGGCGGTTCGCTTGTTGCGGGAGGGGCTCCTGGGAGAGACCGTGGGAATGCTTCCAGGGGCCAGCAGCTGTATCGTTACTCCAGGCAGCCCACTTCAAGCTATCCATCCACGGTGTCCCACTCCACGTCGACAACCGACCCCTGGGGTTGCCGTGCGGCCTTGCCCCCGCCCCGCCGCATGGAGCGCAGCATGGCGTCAAACATCGTGCGCTGCTGCGTCTGCTGCGCCGCCTGCCGCTGCGCCTGCTGCGCCGCCGCACGCTGCGCCGTCTGGCTCGCGCCCCGCGCCAGCAGCATGAGGGCCAGCGGGGTGAGCCAAGTGGCGGCGAACAGCAGGTTGAGGGCCAGCATGACTAATCCTGTCCGGCAGCCCACCAAGAAGAGGCCGAGGGCCAGGCCCTTTCCCAGTGGCGTGCGCATGAGAGCCTGCAGCCGCTGTCTCCTCTGTCGCGGAGTTCAAGGAGGAGTATGGGGGGGGGGTCGATGGGCACGCACGTGGGGCGCGAGGCTTGTCGGGGGAGAACAGCCAGGCATGGCACCATCCAGAGACCACCTCACCGCCGGCCAGAGGCGCAGGAAATCCTCCCACCAGTCCCCAGCACGCTGCCGCAGGCCGAGCTGCCTGTCCACGGCCACTGCGCCGCGGTGGGCCTGGGCAGCCACATCCCCCAGCCGCTGCCTGATGGAGAACCGGGAGTCCAGCGACTGGAAGGCCCGCCCCGTCCTCGCCAGCCCACCCTTCACGCCTTGCGCGACACCGGTGCCTGCCGTCCTCAAACGCTCGCGGAGCTCCTGCTCCTCTATCAGCCCTCGCACGTGGCTGGCGGTGCTGGCTGCCGCGGCTCGCAAGTCGTCGCCCAGAGCAGGGGCTGGGACGGCTCGCCGCGGTCGTGGGAGGCGACATCCAAACGCAGTGGAGGTCAGGCAGGTCCTTGCTCGCAGTTGATTGCTGGAGAGCGACTGTATCGTGCTCTGGGAAGCCATTCCCATCGAATGCATGGGCAGACGAGGGAAGCTTTCAGCGAAGATTGCACGCAAAAGATCTATTACTCAATCTATTTCTTGGATGTCAAGTTCTATGTTGGTTGGAAAGTTGCAAGATGTATGATGTATGGTCTCGACACCATGCATCAGAGGTTTCGTTTTGTCGGAGAAGGTGCATGAGGCCTAATTTGCGGTCCAGGATCTTTCCTGACATCAGCCCCCTCCTTCTGAATGCACAGCGTTTTTCCAATAAGCTTTCACACCCGCCTCCATGCTTGAACAGGCTGCTTGGATATACCTACATTAGGCATGCCCTTGTGCACTCCCATGATGTCCTTCGAGCGTTTTCCTATGTTGAAGAGGTAGTATCTTGCGTAGATCCGCCCGGACGACGTGACGTAATTCCAGCGCGTCGGCTTACTCGTGAAGGCCACAGGCATCGCATCTGGAGCATTGATGATTAAAACCCAAACAGGTTTCTATCGTTTCCTGGTAAGGCTCCATGACCCGCGAGGCGTATATAAGCGCCGCAGCGCATATTGCGAAATTTGGACCAGAATTGAGTGAGGAAGCTGCTAATGCCTTCTTGGACGCTTGGCCATTGGAGAAGGCGATCAGGTACGCACTGGAGGTCATCATCAGATGAGGTTTGGTGTATCCGGGAGGGCGCGTATCGGTCTGTGCTCACTCCACGCCTCCCTTCTTCCCAAATGCAGCGAGCTCCGAGACACCCACCTTGAACCTGAGCATGTCCGGGAGATCTGCGGCAGCATCGGCGCCGCGCTGAACACCGAAGCAGGTAATGCTTGGTGTGGGGTACACGATATCACTTGTGAGACGGCGAGGGTGGCTCACAGCCTTTAGGAATCGTTCTGCACTGGGGGGTCGCGGTTGTCCCACCAAGGAGTGGCTGGTGTACTGCTGTGAATGAAGCACAGTGCGTGGCAACTGTCATTCTAGATTGTAGCCGTATGAGCGAGCAGCCATCTGGATTCCACAGTTTAAACCCAATGCTACTCTTCCCCCCAACCCCCACCGTCCCGCCTTCAGGCGTGACCAGGAGGGAGGAGTGGCTCCCCTTTGCACTTTTTGCCCTGCACTCGCCCCTGGCGGCCGTGCGGACGACAGCCTCAGACCAGCTCCACCGGGCCCTCGCCGATGTGCACTACCCGGAGGCCTGGAAGGTGGACGCCTGCGGGAGGCTGATCGGCATTGTGGGCGAGGAGGATGCAGGGGAGGCCGGCGCGGGGATCGCCGCAGGGCGGCTGCTCGGCGCTGCCACGCCCGGCGCGCTGCTGTGCCGCGCAGCAGGGTTGCGGGAAGAGCTGCACCGCGTCGCGCTCCTCCCCACCGCCGCGCCGCGCCTGCGCACTCTGGCAGTGGCGCTGGAAGTGGTGTATCGGGACGCCGATCTGGCGGCGCCCCTGCTCCCCGCCGTGCGGGGAGCGCTGGAGGGCAGTAGGGGAGACGTGCTCGCCAGCGTGACCTCCATGGAGCTGCTGCAGCAGATCGGGAAGGGGCGGCGAGCCTGCAGGGCGGCCATCGCGCTGCTGGACAGCCTGCAAGGGGTGCTGCAGGAGTTCTTGGGCAGCGAGGAGGAGCTCGTCCGCGATGCTACGCTCGTGGTGAGTGTGCTGGGATGGGTGGGAGGGAAGAAGGGGAGGATCGGTATCATGTATCGCAGGGGGCCCCCCCTTCTGCTTTTGATGTGGCACTGGGAAGGGCTTACTGTGCGAGCCGTAGGTAAAGTTTGGGCCTGGTCAAGTCACTGGATGCCACAATTCCCACAGGCGGCAGCCAAGCTGGTGGGAAGGGGCGGGGACAGCGAGGTCTTCCTCGCCTCGCAGCAGGATCGGCTGGGCCCATTCATTGCAGCGGTCGCGGCCGCTCTGCTGCAGCCAGAGCCCTATGCGGCCCTGCATGCAGGTGTTAGAGGGGATGGCAGGTTCGTCTCGAAGCTGCGAGGTTGATGATATGGCTGAGTGTATTCCATAGTAGAATGGTGCAGAGGCCTGGCTGCCAATATCTCCATGCCCATTTGCTCTCTCTGCCATGCTTTCCACCCTGACAAAGGCCCACTCAAATGATGTGTCACTGCAGTGACCGCTATGAGTCGCAGTCGCACTGCTGCGGCCCTCTTCTTGCTGGACCCTGCCAGGCCCGGGGCGGTCCTGGTGAGTCTGGCGCTGGGGGAGGAGGCACACAACGCATCGGTTCGTGGGGCCGCCCAAGCGGCTTTGGCGGGACTGGCGGGGGGAGAGGGGGAAGAGAAGGGCCAGCAGACTGGACTTGACTCTCTGCTCCCCACCGACGCTGAGGCTGCGCTCCACGCCTTTGTCGAGGAAGGTCAAGGTGAGAAGCAGAGGGGATGTGAGCGTGCGGTCACCGGCAGGCCCGTCGGGTGGCAGTTGGGGTGTGTGCTATGTGATTGTCGGAATGCATTCAAGCGATCGAAAGGAAGGCTACCAGAGCGTTGAATTCCTGCAGCTAAAGCAGAAGTGAAGAGGGGAGGTCCTGGCAGGGCGGCCCTGTGCCTCACGACAGACTGAGCCTGGTGTGGAGAGCAGCATGCTCTCTTCCACCCTCCTCCCTCTGAACATTCTCTGCCCACCGCATGGCACCTCTCACCGATTCGGACCCCTCCACTACCATCCAACCCCTTTCCAGCCTCGGAGTGGCCGGCTGTGCTCGGCGCGGTGCGCCCCGGGAATGTGGACGAGATGCGTGCCCGTCATGCCCTGCTTTCCTCCCTGATGCACCGACCCTGGGCTGCAGCCAGGGTGTGCCGCGTCCCTGAGGCCATGCACGGGCTGGTGTCGGGCGGCGGCGCCCCACTGCTGGCCCTGCAGGCGACCATGTGGCATGTGCTGCGCGGTGAGCAGCCGGCCAGCCAGGAGGAAAGGACGGCACTGGAGGCCGCAGCCACGCACGTGAACAGCGCGGTGGCCGAGAAGCGGTCACCGGCGCCCCAGGTGGCGACGGTGCAGCTGTGAGGGGTGCGTCTGCGAGTAAGGATGCACTGATTGCCCTGCAGACCCTGGGGGGCTGGCACTATACTGTGTGTATAAGACTGTATGCACTGCACAGGCAACCCTGTCGCCAGAATACAAATGAAGACTCTCCCTGCATGCATACCTATCCGTACAGCAGCTCCCCTCACACCCTGGGTGCTTGACAACCACAGAGCAGCCAGCCGTCAATGTACAAAAGCCATGGGAAACGCACATATAACAAAGGGGGAAACAATGACAATGGCTGTGCATGTGTGGCGATACGATGAGATACAGTGGGCCGTCGAAGAAAAGCTACTGGAGCCTAGCCTTTTTGTACAAGAATGCGTGGTACACGGTGCGGGCTGCGCCCTTGGCTGGCTTTGGTGCAGCAACAGCAGAGCAGGTGCACCAGAACAGGCGACGCAGTGATGCCCTGGATGCAGGGCCACGTCCAACCCCCCTCTCTGATGGCCCTCAAAGGGGAGCCGCCACCCACTGCCGCACTCCCCCTGTCTCGACCTCACTGGTAAACGGGGTCGGGGAGGAGCACCTCGTCCCTGCCCACGCAGCGCAGCGCGCTCAGCACACGGCCATGCAGCGCACAGGCCTCCCGCGCCACCATGGCGACCTGCTCTTTGGACAGCGCAGCAAAGGCCGGCTGCTGCGCCACCGCGTCGTAGTGGGTGATGATGTAATCAAGTGCCACGGAGCGTAGGTGACCCAGCCCACTGTCGTCGGCGAGGGTCAGCAGGGCGGGGGCCGTGGCGGCCAGATCTGCAATGGAGAGTGTGGGATTTGGGAGCGCATGGAGAGGCTCAGGAGTCGTAGTGAAACGAGGCACAGGTGGGTGCCGTGGTGGAGCCAGAACTTGTCTCGCCAAGGACTGAGGACCACACAAAAGGGCCCATGTCTCAGGCACAGGCTCTGCTGACCCCCTCCACACTGATTGCCGAGGCCAACACAACCTCCGTCCTGGCATGTTACCCCAAGCTAAAGCAGGAGAGTCCAGCAGGGCCCCCACGCGCTCTCACCCTCCTGGGTGTCGCTCGCGGCTCGCTTCTGCAGCAGGATTCCCGCCAGGGTCCGCTCGCTCTCCTGGACGAGGCGGGGGACGCCATAGTACTGCGCCACATGCAGCGTGGCCAGCGCCATCTGGCAGGGGAGGCAAGAACGAGCAGATGCCTGGTTGACATTGTGCGTGTGTGTGTTGGGGGGGGGACAGACATGCCTGCAGCAGGCTGGCGACTGGTTGCCCGGCAGGAGAAGGGTCAACCCGGTAGGGAGATGGGTGTGCCACACCGCGCCCGAGAGGCACCTGCAGCTTCAGACACCAGACCTCCTAGGGCAGGGTGCTGAGCCCCCCACCCTCCCCACCTTCCCCATCCACCCAGGCCCCACACCAGCCTTGCCGCACGTCGGGGTCGGCGTCCTTGACCACCACATCATGGTACATGTACTCGATGAGGGCCTCCACACCCTGGCGCGAAAAGTGGTCTGGCACGGGGATCGTCTCCACCGCCGCGTCCCGCATGCCGCTCTCGCACCGCGCCCGGAAGTGCTCGCAACGCTGCCGCAGCACCTCGCTGCAAGGAGGACCGGTGGGAGAGGAGGACATGGTGAAGAACATATTGGATTCATGTCAAGACCATCACTTCCCTCTGCACTCTCCAGCTGCGCAGGCACGGAATGACAAGCCTGTGCACGGCCGCTTGCCTGTGCACGGGGAGAACATAGCCCTTCCCGACGAGGGAGATGTCTGGGGAGCCCAGGCACCGCAGCACCACGGCAGGGTCCACGCTGTCCTTGAGCGAGGTGGCTTCATCTGCGGGCGGTGGCAGGACGTCAGCCTCGAAGGGGGGGGAGGTGCGTAGCGGGCACCAGCAGTATGGGTGGGTTCGGGTGCACTCTTCCCATGATCAGTTCTGGGCCTCCTGCAGGGACGAATCACTCTGCCCCTGAACCATACCATGGAGGCAGAAGCATGATCTGCCCACTCAAGCGCACCTTGAGGTCCGGCATCCCTGCTGCTCCCGCTGCAGGAGCTCAGGAAGGACGACAGCCGGCGGGGCCAGCTGCTCTCCGATCCCAAGGGGGACGTGGGCAGCTCCCAGACTGCGTGGGGGTGGGCGTGCGAGGTGTTGGTCGTATGAGTTTTCGACCATGCGCCGCAGATGCTCCTGTTTGGGGAGCGCACCGCATTCGCTTTACGGCTCGCGACGCATGTCTCACTGCACCTCACCGGCATCCTACACCTCCAACTTGCCTGCCTGGGGCGAGCAGGGCGACTGCCCGAGCACACCCTTGGAGCTCATTGCGGCCCGCGCCATCGAGCCTGGATGGAAGGGGGACCAGGTGGATGGGGTGGCGGGGAGTGCAAGCCGACCTTCATGCACACCCACTCCAGTCTCCAGACGCAGCAGGAGGAGGCGGCGGCCCCCCGTGGGCTCGGTTGCCTGACGCTTTGAAGACAGCCACCTAAGCTTTACTCGTGCTCGACGCACCATCAGACATGATGTCCCCCACACCCTCGCAAGTTGACTCTTCCCCATCCACACCCCTGTGCCTCCCCATCCCTCACAGCACATGGATCAGGCCCCCCTCCACACTCACCCTGCATGCCCGCCAGGTCGGCCAGGTAGGTGCTGGGCAGGGCCGCGGGCGTGGTGCGCGCCTTGCGATCCGCCCTCAGCATGGCCAGCAGCATGCGCGCGTCCCCCGGCACCTCCAGCTCGCTGAATCGCACCTGGCTCAACACGCGCTGGGTGACGGCGCCGTCGGGCGCGCGGGTGATGACACGCAGGTCGCTGGGCGCCACGGGCACCACGATGCGGCCCCCCCCCGGCCCCAACAGGGCCAGCAGGGGCCCCAGCCGCTCCGGCGGACAGGACGCGCCGACGTGCACGCGGTCGAAGCGGGCGCGCAGACGCGCGGAGGGCAGGAAGACGTCGCGCGCTCGGAAGTCGACCTCGCAGGCCGTGGCCGCGTATTCGGTGCCGGCCGCCGCCAGCCGCCGCACGTTGTCGCGGCTCAGGCGCACCGCTTGGCGCCGGACGTCGATGCCCACCACGGAGCCGGCCCTGCCCACCATGAAGGCGGCGCAGGCGGCCAGGATGCCGCACCCGCACCCGACATCCAGGACCTAAGGTGAGGGGGGCGGGGTCGACCAGGTCGGGATGTGGCGGACGCCTGCTCAGGTCCCGAGCACAGGGGAGTGTCAGCGCACTCGCGGGTTGGCCGTCCGCAGAATGATGAGCCAGTGCTCATGAACCAATCGCACTGTGAACTGAAGGCATGTAGGCCTCCACCTGCCACTACAGCCTGCTGAGCCCCAATGAAGGAAACCCCCAAACAACACAAACACACCCTGTGGCCGGGCTTGATGTCGAGGGCCTCGATGCAGGTGGCGTGCATGTGAGGGGCCGAAACGTTGAACTCCATGCTCTCCAGCCGTATGGGCGAGTCTGCCAGGGCCTCGTAGCGGTACTCCTCGGGGACAAAGGCGTCGCGGGGGCAGGCCCTCATGGCTCGTGCCACCAGGTCACTGCAGGGAGCACATGATGGAGTTCCGGCGATGGAGACACAGGGGAGCAACCTTTCTCAAGACAAGGGGACTGACAGTGCAAGGCTCCCAGCCTTGGCACAACCTCTTGTTCAGCGGGGACTCTGACATCACCGTGCGTCCAAGCCTACCTTTGGATCACCCCTCCGCGCTTCAAGGCGGCCACAAGGTCATCGTTGCTCGCCGCCGTCCCATGGTCGACCATGCGCCCGCCCGCTATCAAGCGCAGAAACTGGTGCAGGGGGAGGCGGTTGGCTTGTGTCCTCTGAACTGGCTGGCCAGCAGGCTCCTGGGAGGCGGGAAGGGAAAGGGGTCTTGTGGGACAACTGCCAATACCAATGTACTGGCAGGCCACGGACCGGTCAGAGGGAGGGTTCCGGAAGGGACGACAATCCCGAGTACCGCCGCACGAGGGCAGCATCCGGCACGTAATTCAAGATGATGAGTGAATTTTCATGCACTGTCTAAAACATGTCAGCTGCCCGGGGAGGCTCACTCCATCGGATTCCTCCTCCTCGGAGACGGTGTCCATGAGGAACTCGAGGTCATCGTCCATGGTGTTTAGCCCCAGAATCAGAGTGTCAGATCCGATGCGAACTTCGAATCTGGGATGGAATCGACGTGCGAATGTAGTGAAATGTGCAATGCTATAGACCGGGACGCTTGTGCGAGGGACGCGCGCCTCTCCTTGTACCATCATTGGTGTCGGAGCCGGGCCTGCACCCCATACCGGTCTCCCGACCTCGCTCCTCGCTCCCATCGCCTACCTTGCGTGCCAGGTGCGGTCTGCAAAGCTCATTCCATTACCAATACGAAATAGCATCCCGTGCCGCAGGGTGGGGGGATGTGGTGAACGTGGGGATGCTTGCCCTTTCTCCAACCCGGGTCGAGAGGTAGCAGGGCCCCGTGGCTGACAGCCCCAGCCAGGTTGGTATGCACGGCAAGCCTTTGATGATTCCATTCAGTGTTTCCCAATAGTACATGGTCAGTTGGGCGTAATGCGCTCTTTGGAATGCACGGGTTAGACTGCAGAGCACTGGCGAACCCCACACTCCTGGCACACAGCATGCGGGAGCCCGCAGGAGAGCACTGCAGGTGGATCACGAGCAGGAAGCTGCATGCTTCACGCCCCCTCTTCGTCGGTTTCCCACTCGCTCTCATCTGCCCTCGCGTGCGCCTCCTCCTCCTCCGCCTCCTCCCCTGCCTCTGCCGCCTCTTCGTCAGAGGAAGTCAGCTCCTCCTCCTCCTGCGGATCCAGCCCCTGACCGGGCCGGGGGACCCGGCCCTCGATCCAGGCCTGGCCGCAGCTGCGGAACACGCGCAGCATGTCGGCGGTGAGCTCCAGGACGCCCTCGTGGTCCACGAAGCTGTCCGGAACCTGGCCGGCCAGCTCCTCGTCCGTCGCACACGCGGCGATCAGCGCGTGCGCCGCGTCGCGGCAGTCGTACCGCGCGTGCATCTGCTTGGTGGGGCCCGCATCCTCTGCGGGCCAGAGGGTGATGTGGGAGGGGTGGCGGGAAATAATTTTGCGGGGCGGCGTCAAAGGGGGTACAATTTTATGAGGCTCTTGAGGCCCCGCACCCATGCGAAGCCCTGTAAAAATGCCCCTTGCTCTTTGAGACTCCCTGGAACTGACAACTGAGCAGTCCTACTTCCCCATATGAACCACACACATGACTGCACCCCTCATGATAGTGCACCCACTCCCTCGCCCATTCCCCTCTCCCCTCTCACCCGCTTCATAGACCTCGACCACCATGCGGCGCAGGGCCTGCACCCCGCCGACGCGCCTCAGCTCGGTGCGGTTGGGCAGGTACTCCATGATGGCCACGATGGCTACGGCCGCGGAGCAGCGCACGTAGGGGAAGCCGGGCTGCAGCTGGCGGCATAGCGCGCTCAGCGCGCCCGCCCCCGCCACGTGCGCGGCCAGCTCGCCGCCCAGCAGGCCGCGCATGATGGACAGGAAGCGCGCTGCCGAGTGCTGCGCATACACGTCGGTGGCGTGCAGCAGGCGCGCCGCCGGCAGCGCGCCCAGCGTGGCCAGCAGGTGGCGCACGTCCTCGCCCACGCGCATGGCGGCGTCGGCCTGGCTGAGGGCCGCCGCCGCCACGCCGGCGCCATAGTAGTCGCCGTGGCGCAGCAGCCAGAGCAGGTCCAGCATCATGTCCTGAAGGGGGGGTTTGGGTGGGAGAGGGGGGGGAGCAAGGTGGCAGCTTCACCTCCTGGCCACGCTGACAACATGCATCTCCCTGGCGCATGGCATGCGGAGAAGAATCAGCGCAACATGCGCCGGGGAGGCTGGCATGGGCCTCGCCAACGACACAACACCGCATCCACGGTCCCCCATGCTTGCTCGTCGCCTGCCCTGCCGAAGCCCTTCTCGCCATGCAGCCCGCTCCAGGCTCCACACCTTGAAGGCTGCGGTGCGGGCCTCGGCCATGTCCAGGATGGCTGGCGTGCGCTGCCAGTCGATGAACATGTTGTTGATCTTGCCGGCCGCCACGCCGCGCAATCGCACGTCCCCGCCACGCAGCGAGGCCAACAGCCCCTGCAGTTCGGGGCCGAGTGGGGCGAGCGCGGCCTCATTCGCGGCGGCGTTCGCAGCCTGCGGCTGGGCCACGCCGTGCCGCTCGCACCACTCCCGGATGGTCTGGCGCAGGGCCGTCAGCGGCACGACCTGGGGGGGGATTGACGTTTTGAGGGGGTTGGAGGGACCATGCCAGCACGCTATAGGGGATGAATGTGATTGCTGAGGGAGGGCAAAATTCGGCCTGTGCCGGCCATGGTCACAGGGTCGGAGTGGCATCCCTCAAATCACACGCAGCAAGCGCTTCCTCTCCCAATCCTCAGCATCACCTCCCCGACACATCCTCTGCGTCCCAACCTCGATGTCCTTGAGCAGTATGTTGGTCTTGGGGCAGACGCGGGATCCCGTGGCCAGCCACTGGAAGAGGGACTCCCGGCTGTAGATGGCGCCTGTGCCCACCAGGACGACAGGGTCATGGGTTATGCCCAGGGAGATGGGGTCCAGGAAGGCCTCCGGTACCTCCGGCTCCTCCTCCGCCTGCGGGGCGGCGGGGGGGTCCTCCACCAGCCTGGGAGCTACCTGGGGAGCCTGGGCTGGGGGGGCCGCCTGCACCCGCGCCAGGGCCGCGGGGCCCGTCAGGAGGTAGGAAACAGGGAGCTGGGTTCCATCAGTGGGAATGGGGTGCGCGACGGCGTGGCCGTCCAGGGAAAGCAGGATGATTTCCCGGGGGGGCCGGTGCTGCACCAGCCACCACCAGCCTGCAGCGCCGAATCCCGCTGCCGCGGCCAGAGAGAGCCAGCCCACTTGCTCGTGCACCGACATGGAGGGTGTCGGGATCCCCCGTCACTTGTCGATCCTATTCCGCGACTCTTGGACACCTCGGACACGAGACTGGGTGTCGCCCAGTGTGGAACCCACCTGTGCGCCTAGCCCCTCAGATGAGCATAATATACATCAGGAATGCATGCGTGGAGAAACGAGAATTACCGAGATTTAATTCTGGTACTTGGCTTGTCCTCGTTTACGGGTGTTGGGCGCTGGTCCCCTGGGCGCGAGTTGGCCGAGGGGTACTTAGAACCCTCCCAACCAGATGATCTGACCCTCATGTATGAACTTTCGAGTGCTGCGCTCGCAAAGCCCTTTCACAAACTCTTGCACCTGCCGCTCCTGCTCGTGGGATTCTGCTTCTCTATTGAAAATTTGGCCCAAGCATCAGCGCGCTCAGGAGAGCGTTCACAAACAGCAAGCAAGCGGGCGCTACCCCAGCAGATCGGCAAAGGGGTCTGCAGCCTTCTTGGCAGGCGGGGGCGACTGCGCTTTCTGCATGGCACCGCCCGCCATCGCCCGCATGCCCACGCCCCCCAGGTTCCAGTTGGGCGACGAGGTGGCCGGCGATGGGGAGGCCAGCCCCGGCGGCGGTCGGGCGCCGTCGGCCGCAGATGCAACGGGCGTGGGTCCGAGGAAGGCTCCGCCAAACGGGTCGTAGTCCTGCACTGGGGCGGACTGCCCGCTCGTCTGCAGCCCCTCCAGCATGGCAAAGGGGTCGCTGGGGGCATTGAGGGGGGTCTGCTGCTGCTCACGCTCTGGCTGGTGCGACACGCTCTCCAGACCCACCGCCCCGCCCCCAAAGAAGAGGTCTGTCTCGTTGGCATGCCCGTTGCCCGATAGCTGCTGGGATCCCAGGTCGACAGGGTCCTCTCCCAGCAGATCGCCCAACAGGTCGGGCGCAGGCGCGGCGGGAGCCTGGGCCGGCTGAGCACGTGCCCCCCGCGCCGCCGCAGGGCTCCTCCCCACGCCCCTGCCCACCCCGGCGCCGGCGGCGCCTGTGCCGGCCTGGGCCCCCCCGCCGCCGAACGAGAGAGGCCGCGAGCTGCGCCCGCGCGGGTCGGCCTGGTGCTGAGGCGGCGCGGCGTCGCGCGAGGGCCCTGCGCCAGGC